GGGCCGGGCCACTTGGGGAGTCTGGAGGGTACGGCGCTGCGTTGCTGTCGGCGCTGGGTGCCTTTGCGTGGGGCTCGTCTGCCAACCCCCCCACCTCCCGCTGACCGGTTCCCAGCAGCTAGCGCGGCCGCGCTGCGCCTCCGCTTGGTCGCTGCGTGCTTCAGCCACCCAGCGGCACCAGCCCCGAGTCACAAGGTTTTCGCCGTCCCCTCGCTTCAGAAGGGGGGGGATTGCAGCGCAGCCGCGCAACTGTGGGGCCAGGAGTGGAGGGGCTCTGGGTTTGTCGGGCTTTGTGATGTAGCGCAGCCTCTGCTCACAGCACTGCGCTTAGCCAGGTGGTGCCGCACTGAGGCCGCCGCTTTCTGGCTTCCAGGCTTGCGGCCGCTTGGAGCGCCGCTCCAGCTTCGCGGTCGTGCAGCCTACGGCGTCGCCCGCAGTGCAGGAGCGCCCCCGGGCACGTTATGCAAGGCTTTTGGCGCTTCTTGGGGCGCGTCAGGATGGCGGCGCATCCTGACGCGCCTGGGCGCACACGCCCAGCGAGCACCTGGGGGGGGGGCTGGGCGAGGGTGCGGATCAAGGGTCGCGTCCAGCTGCTGCAACTTAGTCCCTTATTTGCAGGTGGTCAGACGGGAGTGGGCGGCGCGGCTGAGACCACGTTTGAGGCGTCCTGGCACTTGCCCAGGGAACGATGGTGCGCCGCGCCGAGCCTGTGCTGATCTGCCCATTGTTGCTCCCAATGCCATCATTTGTAGGCACCTTTCTTTCACTATCTTGACAATTCCCTCCAATTTGAGAGCAAGCCTGGTTCGGCCTGGGTGGTGCAGGCGCAAAGCCTGCGCGCCTCGGGCGCCGTGCTTTGCTGTGCCATCCAATAGGCCAGCACGCAGCTGTCTGGATCTCAAGGATCTAGCAGCGCATGAATACATATGCCTGCATGGCGTCGAACGCCACGGCGCGCATGCTGACCACAGCTGCACACGTATGGGCCGTGTCGTCTGCAGCGTGGTTTTGCAAAACCCCAAACCACATTTGCGCGCACCTTTACTATATTCCATACGTGGGCTTCCCCTACTATTACCAGTTGATTTGGGCTGTGCATGGCTAGACAGCAGTTGAATGAGCACGGGCCAGAGAAAGAATGGAAGCGCGATGATGTTGGGGCAAATCATGAACATGCGAGTCAGGCGAGGGCGCTGCGTCCAGACGGGTGTCGGCTTGTGTGAGGGAAGGCGCTTATGGAGGCCTTGTAACTCTTGTTGGTCTTGAGTAAGGGCAGGGGGTTGTTGGGGCAGTCGCGTGAGCTACAGGTGTTATGTCCTGCCGGGCACCCAGCCGCTAGGTTGTGCCGTGAAGCAAGGGTGAGCGCATGTGGCGCCCTCCCTTTCACGTGGTCAAGATGTCAGCGTCAGCCTATGAGACTTTATCATTTAATGCGACGGATGTTCGAGCAGATGCGACGGATGTTCGAGCAAAATCAACTCAATTTCCCCTGGGTGGCTGTATGCGGCAAACCACATGGCCAACAGGATTACCGCAGCTCAGCTCACCTGCGCAAAAGCTGTCAGATGATCAGATGCGCAGCGCCGTTCCAAGCGTCTAGCGGAAAGCGTCTCGCGGAATCAAAGCAAAAAAACTTCGGTTTGCGGTGCCGTAGGGCACCCTTCATGCATGTATCGCGCCACGCATTGCACGCGTCACAGCTAGATCTCAGACAGATCGAAAAGCGCTGTATTATCTTGTACCATCATTGCCTTGTATCATTCAATTGGTGCCTTGATATACCGCCATGGAAACCGACGATCATGCAGCGCATACGTCAAGCCCCGCCGCAGTGCCGAGCCCGGGGGCGGCAGCGTCGGCAGCGAACCTGCTGCCGCCCGCCGCCCGCGCCGCGCGCTCGCTGCTGGCGCCGCAGCCGCTTGATTCCTTGGACTCCCTGCAGCGGCCGCTGGCGACAGTCAGCGTGCCAGCGGACATCGCCTCAAAGCCGTCGGTCAGCGCCCTCGGCCTCGAGCACACGGCGACGCAGCTGCGCCGCCTGCGCGCCGCAAGCCAGCCGGGCGCGTCCCCCCTCGGCGGCGGTGCCGCCGGCGGCGGCGGCGGGCTGGGGCTCGAGTCGGTTGGGTCTGGGCGGCTGGTAGAGCGCGCCGCGAGCAGCTCGGACCTCCGGGACCCACCGAGCTCACTCTTATCGAGCGCAAGCGCGGCCGCGGGCAGCCCTGTGTCGGGCGGCGCCGCCGCGGCGGGTTCCGCGCCGGATGTCGGCTCCGCTTGGCCCGCGCCCGCGCCGCCTGTGCCACACAGCGCCGGGGCCGCCGCGGCCGACGCACCGTACAGCGCGCCGCTGCTGCCAAGGCTTTCGCAGGTCAACCCCCGGCCGACTGCAGCGGCGGCCTCGTCTGCGTCGGGCAGCGGGCAGGGGCCGGGGGCGGCGGCAGGCGGCGGGCCGGCGTCGCTGGCGGCGACGCCGACGGCACTTGGGGCGAGCCCAGCGGCGTCCTTCACGGCGGGCGCGTTCAACGGCGGCAGCGCCTTCGGTGGCGTTGGAGGTGTGGGTCTGGCAGGTGCGGCTTTGCATTCTGTGTATGTGTGTGTGTGTGTGTGTGCGTGTGTGCGCGTGCGTGCATGTGGTCAAGTGTTTGTGTGCATGCGTGTGTGCGCTATAACATGCCTGTTCTAGAGTGAGAGTGTGCGTTCGAGAGTATATGCGTGTGCGTGTGTGCTGTGCGTAGGTGTGTGTGTGAGTGTGTGTGTTGTGTGCGAGTGTGTATGAGTGCGCGTGAGTGCGTGTATGCGTGTGTGCGTGCGCGTGCGCGTGCACATGTATGAGCTCGCCACAACAAGTCAGACATGCCAGGCGCGCGCCGTGCCACCGCGCTCTGCTGGTCCCAGTGCCAGCAGCCCCGCCCTGCAGCAGCCCTAGCCAACGCCGCCGCGCCCTGCACGCCGCAGGCGACGCGCCGAGCGGCGGCACGCCCACCATGCTGCAGCAGGCCGCCCGCGCGCCCAGCCTTGGCCTGGGTCCAGGGGGGCTGCTGCCAGAGCTGCAGTCTTTCAGGGAGTATTTGTCAGCGGAGGCCAACCCTCTGGAGAAGGTGCCCACTGCGGACGTGGTCTGGCGCCAGACTGAGCGCGACCGAGTGTGAGCGGGCGCGAGAGGGCGGGGGGCGGCGGCGTCGCACGCATGAGTCGCGGATGCTGTGCCTGGACAAGCTGTCGGCGCAGCCTCGGCCCCGCTTGGCCGCGGCCGCGCGGCGTGTGAGCGACTCGGCAATCCAAGCCATGTTGCTTTGCTGCCATGTGCCCGACCACACACACACACACGCGCGCGCGCGCGCACGCGTGCGTGCGCACACACACGCACACATGCAAACATGGTAACTGATAATCGTTGCCAACCCCCGTCGTCACAAGCACCCGCTGCAGTGAATGCCTGCGCAGCAAACAACCTCGATGACACCCCCCGTTGTCACCAGTTACAACTACCTCATGTACGTGCCCTACCAATTGGAGCGACTAATGTGGTTCGGCACCATGCTCTGCTTCACGTCATTCCTGGTGGGCGCCGCAAACCGCGAGAGGACAGCGCCCCAATTCAGCCACCGTTGATTGCTGTGGCCTTGAGCTAACGGCCAGTCAGCTCCTCGAGCGCCGCCGTGTTGGCCCGGGCGACGTCCTGGCCCCGCCTTTGGTTCCTCGAGCACACCTGTGACAGGGTTGAAGCTTGGTGCCCCTCGCCCTGAGTCGCACAACACAAGGCTTGCGCTGCGCCCCGCCGCACCCGCCGCCCCCTCCACCATCCCCTCCCTCAAAGGCCTCCCTGACGCTCCTGCCGCTCCGCGCCCTCCGCGCGGCGGCGAGCGTCGTCACGTCCCGCGGCCGCCCTGCCTGCGGCTGCCGCCTGCTGCCCGGCCACCAGCTGTACGATCTTGTTGCCGCGCTGCTGCTGGTCGCCGCGGCGGGCGCGCTGACGCTGCTGCGGCCGGGGCTGATCTACTACTGGATGAAGGACATAACCTCGGAGTTCCTCAAGATCCAAGTGCTGTTCAATGCCTTGGAGATCCTCGACAAGGTGAAGCCCGCGGGGCAGGGGCGCGAATATGCTGCATTTACAGAGGCGCAGGACTCGCGCGCCGCCGGGCTGTTGCGTCCAGGCCCTGGTGCCATCAACAGCAGCTGCAGTGGACTGGTCGAGTTTGGACAGCTTGCTCCGAGGACGGGCCCGGCTCCGGCCCCACAGGCCGGTTCCATAATCCCCCTCCTCAAACCGCATATGTGTGCCCCGTCTCACCCCTGCCGCGCATGCGCACGCCTCATCTCATTGCTCCCAGATCATCTCAAACTTCGGCGTCGATGTTCTGGAGGCGCTCTCGGGCACCTGCACCCTCTACAGCCGCCGCCGCATCGGCGCCGCCCAGCTGGTGTGCGATGCCTTCATTGCCGTCCTGCTGGTCACGGCGCACGCGGCGGTGCTCATGTGCGAGGCGATCCTGTTCTCGGTGGCCATGAACAGCGCGCGGCACGCGCTGCTGGCGCTGCTGATCGCGGCCAACTTTGTGGAGCTCAAGGGGCAGGTGTACAAGAGGACGGACACCAGCAAGCTGTGGACGCTCGCCTGCATGGTGGGCGCGCGTGGGGCGCGCGGCGTGCGCACTGCGTGCGTGCGATGTGTTGTGTGTGTGTGTGTGTGTGTGTGTGTGTGTGTGTGTGTGCGTGCGAGTGTGTGTGTGCGTGTGTGTGTATGCGTGTGTGTGTATG